ACAGTAGAATTTAAGTCTCTTCTTTTTTAACCCTTCGATTTTGAAGAATTTCCAATTCTTAAGGATACACTCCAAGGGCGCTTGTTCTGGCTTAGAAGGGGATCCGCCCATGTTGAATAACCTGCAACTGAGAACTGAGGGTCACAGTGTTGTCACAGGTCACCATGGAAATAGGGGGCGCCTTGCCTTTACCGGGAGGTCTGGCGCTTCGGGACACAGTTTCTCCCCGACCTTTCCGCCTCCATCCGCCTCTGCAGCTATCAGGGAGAACCAGAAACGTGCCCTTTCCCTGGTTGGATGGGGTGCACAAACTCCTTAACCTAGAGGTCTCTGCCCAGCGCATCCGCGCTGTGCCAGTGACCGCCCAGAAGATGGGCGTTTCCGGAAGCCCTTGCAAGCAGAGGGGATTTCTGGCGTCGCGATTGTGACGTCTTTTGCTGGTGGCCGGGATCCTCGAGTTGCTGTGTAGGCTGGGAGTCCACAGTGGGGTCCGCCTTTGGGGAGGCTCTGGAGAGGCGAACATAGGACAGAAAAAAAGATGGTACTTCCGTCCGCTTGGTTATTACGAACCATGGTCGCTGTCGTGGGACGGGCGGCCTATCGCGGAGCTGTCGCCTGGGGCTGCGCTCCTTCGGGAGCCTTCTCAGCCGCCCTCTGTCCTCGTCCGCCTCGAGGCAGCATCCTGAGCTTCTGCGCCTTTTGACCAGGAGGAGATCGGGGATCGGAGCTCGACCCTTCTCACGGGCCCACCACACCCAGGGGAGTGTGCGGGTTCCGCCGGCTTTTCAACACGGTTCTGCTCACAGGACCCCATGGCGGCTGCGCTTATGAACTGGGCTCAGGTGAGTGGAGAGTCCTCAAGCCTTCCCGACTCAGGTGTGGGGGATGGTGTATTCTCGGGCTTTCCGAACTTGGCCTTCGCTCACTTCTCGAGTATGAAGGCCCTGAAGGGTGGTCAGTGACGGTGAACATGTGGCAAGGAATCCCTTAGCAGTGTTGACGGGATGAGGTGCGGGAAATGGTTTCCAGGATTTAGGAGCCCCAGGTACAAGCACCTGGAGGTGAGGATGAATTAGGCGCGTTCTGGAAACGGCAGGTCTCTGCGGTTATGTGTGCTGAGAACAGAGAGCAGGCAGTAAGGAGTCCGAACTGGTATGGCAGCCTGGGGAGCTGGACCTCTATTCTGACGGTGATGGGAACCACGGAAGGTTTATAACAAAGAAGGGAGGTGGCCTGACGTCAATGTTGACAGGCTCCCTCTAAGTAGAGTGGAAAGATTGGGGAAGCCTGAGGGTGGCAGGGAGACCAGGCGGAATCGACTGCAATAGCCCAGGTGTGTTGATGGTGGGGCCAAAAGTGGGCGTTAGAGAAGTGTTTGGATTTTGTATGTTTTTAAACTAGGGCCGGTGGAGATTTTGTGATGAGAAGTAGTGATGTTCTGAGACTCTTCACCTGTCCCTCCCTCTGCACTTGAGTCTGGGGCCCTTTCAGAAGGAGTCCTTTCTAGCCCAGCACCCTGAATCTAAGCCAAGAGTTATATGAAGAGGTTCCTGCTTTGGGCAGCCAGCAGGAGTAAGACTGGACAGGTGTATTAGACTCAGGAAGAGCTTGCACAAGTGCCTAAGAGGTTAAGATTGAGTTGGGAGTCATCAGGGAACCACAGGTCTTCATTCTGTCTGTTGAGAAAAGGGCCAGAAGTTGGGCAACAATAGCAGGCTGAGGAGCTGTGCTTCTGTTTTGAAGGTGATGAAAGACATGAGCTTCCTGGATGCCTCGGTGGTAAAGATTCCACCTGCATTGTAGAAGATGCAAGAGACACGTGTTTGATCCCTGGGTCAGGAAGAGCCCCTGGAGGAGGGAATGGCAACCCATTCCCGTAGTCTTGCCCGGGAAATCTCATAGACAGAGAAACCAGGTGGGCTGCAGTCCTTGGGGGTCCCAAAGAGGCAGACACGACTAAGTGAACCTGTAGCATGTACAAAAGACATGGAAGATTTGGAAGAGAAGAGAGAATTAAATCAAAATGGGCTCCCTCTGGCTGCTGTCTAGTTGAGAATGGAGTGTGGGCGTGAGGGAGGAGGCTACAGCAGTGATCCACAGAAGTGTTGATGGTGGCAAAGAAAGTCCCAACTGGGCACTGAGGACTGGGTGTCTTGCTCAGGCACTGGGGTGGCAGTGGTGCCTGTCAAACACAAAGGAGTTCTTCCTGGATTCTGTGTGCAGAGTGGCTTCAGGGGTGGGATGTGCCTTGGAAGTGTGGACTGGAAAGTTTTCAGTCTTAATGGAGGGGGACCCCAGACATGAGGAAGGTGTGGTTCAGAGTGAGGTTCATGGTGGGAGGAGCGTAGACTGATGGCCTTAAAAGTTGTGTCTGGGAGGCATGGTCAGGGGGATGCCAGCGGGAGAGATTTGGTGCCCTTCCTGCTGGACCCGTGGCTTACATAGTCTCTGTCTGCCCACCTTCCTGATTTTTCTCTGGGCTGCACATGGTGGTCAGAGGGACAGCAGAGGGCAGCTAGTAGTGGTGTCATGGCCGAGTATCACCTCCGAGTTGGGAGGCTGGGGAGCACCAGAGCCAGGGGGTGGGAGGTGAGTGGAGGCCTGGGGAGCCCTGTTGTCTGTGGGCTCAGCTGTCCCCATCATGGCAGGGCAGTGTGACCTTCAAGGATATGTTCGTGTACTTCTCCCGGGAGGAGTGGGAGCTGCTGGAGGAACCTCAGAGACTCCTGTACCGCAGTGTGATGCTGGAGAACTTCGCACACGTGGCTGCCTTGGGTAAGTCCCCGTTTCAGTTACCCATTGGTACATGTCAAACTACTCTAGAAGTGAGTGACGTAAAACAATACAAAGGCCTTATGTAAGCTTCACTGTGTCACGAGCTCGTTACAGCTGATGTTTTTGGCTCAGGATCTCTCATGAGGCTTTAGTCAAGCTCCCAGCCAAACTGTTCTCATCTGAAGGCCATTCTTGGGAGGATCTCATTCACAAACTCACTCATGTTTTGTGTTTCCAAGAGGTTGTTTCTTGTGGCTTGTTGGACTGTAAGGCTGTTGGTCAGACACCCCCTGGCTTCCTTGTCACCGTAGCCTTTCTGTAGCACATCTCACAGCAGGGAAGGAACTTTCTCTCTGAGCGGAGAGAATGTTCAGGATGGTAGCTGGTCTTTTTCTAATCCGACCTGGAAACCATCATTTTTCCCTGTTTTGTTCTTAGAAATGGGTCAGTCAGTGCAACCTCCGGTCAAGGGAAGTGGCTCACACAAGGGCAAGAACACTGGGTGATAGGTCTTCCTGGGCCATCGGAGAGGCTGCCTGCACCAGGCCCCCCACTGCCACGCCTGCTGCAGTGTCCTTGGGTTTTTTCCCTGGTGCCCTGGGGGCAGTTCTTCCTGCCCTGCCAAATCAGGGGCTCTTCCCCGTCCCGTCTTGGTTCCCAGGGTAGGGGCTGTGGATCCCCAGGGCTGTGTGTAGTGTCCCCTCGCTGAGCAGTCCCAACACCTGCTGCCCAAAGCCTTTCTGGATCAGGTTAGGAGTTTAGGGCTCTTGAGTTGGCTTCACAGATTCTCCCTAGCTTGGGCACTTCCAGATCCATGATGCGTCTATGTCTATGTTCTCCCCCCATCCTCTGGCTGACGGTTCTCAGGGACTGACTTTGCCAGAAATTGTAGCTATTGACATGTCACTGCTTGTGGAGGGCATAGGGGTGTTCTGCCAAATCCTCCTTTGTGGTTTTTTTGTCTTTTTTATTTTAACCTTTTCTTCTCTCTGAGATGGGTCTATCTGGACCACTCATCTGTGCTATGTTTGTTTGTTTGTTTTACAACTTCCACCTTCCAGATCCCATGTAGTTGCCCAGTAGCAGAGAGGCAGAAAACCCTGGGTACCTGTGTGTAGACCTGTCTCCAGCCACACCGACAGCACAGAGCAGGCCTGCCCTGCCACACGGGAGCTGAGAGAGAGCCATCTGAGGGTTGGGCTCACATCATACGTCAGCCAACTTTGTGTCCACCAGTGTTTTCTTGCCAAGGCCCATAGCAGTCCCTCACTTCTCCCTTTCCTCACCATTCTGGGCATGACGTTTTTCTTCTGTCTTCCTTCCCTTGGCTGTTTTCCCACCTCTCTGGCCTCCATGTCTGTCATTCATCCCCTGCTCACCCTGCAATGCTCTGCTACGTGGGCTGCATCAGTGTGCCGTGAGTTGTGCACATATCTGTATGTAGTCCTGAAGAGCCAGCTGCTTACTTGCAATCAGATTTTCCTGGGCCTGGACAGAGCCTTCTGACAGCTGAGCTTGACACCAACAGCTGATACGCTGTTTAAACCCTTCTTAAACGAGTGAGTGGGAGACCTCGCCTCTGCTTCCAGTACTGTTCACCATCATTGTGTCTTTACCCATCATTGGAAGTACTCTGTACTGTGACTTTTTGAGGCCCAGGACTGACAGTGGGCCCTTCCTCACTGCTCCTGGCCCCCTCATCCTGCCAAAGGTCCGTGGACTCACTCACTGTTGTGTCAGAGACTCAGAGGTGATAGACTTGCTGCTTCTTACTGACGTCAGCACGTCCTTCACTAGCATTTCTTTGCTTTCAGGTTGTTGGTGTGAAGCAGTGAGGAGGCCCCTTCTGAGCAGAGTGTTTTTGTTGAATTAGTGTCAGAGTTCAGGGCTCTTGGGTCCTGTGCACCTGTCCAGAAAGCTCACCCATGTGACACAGATGACTTGCTCTTGAAAGGCATTTTAACACCTGGATGAACAACAGGGGTCGTGCCCTGCACTGAACCTGGACATACGTGACCCCTGTGGGTGAGGATTCCTGTTGAGTGAAAACTTTCATTAGCACCAGAAACCACATAGTGGTAAGAATCCTGTCAGTGAAGATGATGATGTGGCCTCACGTATGAAGAGCTGTGCTGTCCATGAGTTAGGGAGATCTTTTACTTGCGGGGGGCAGTGATGGATGTGCCGGATAACTCTGGCCTCTTCCAGCACCAAAGCACTCACAGTGGACTGAGTCCACAGAGAAGAGCTGAGTTCGTGGAATCTTTTCACAGAAGTCCAGTCTTGGGCGACACCAGGGAGACAGTGATGAACCGATGCTTTTCAATTGCACTGACAATGAGAAAGCCTTCCTGAACGCTTTCACTCTCCTCGACAACCAGATAACTCAGGATGAAGTGCGAACCTTTAGGTACCTACTGTGTGGAAATCTGTCCAAGGAGAAATCCGCTCTTATTCATCACAGAAAACTTCCCGGTGGGGAAACATCACATGTGTGCAAGGAGTGTGGACAAGCCTTCATTCACCTGTCTCACCTAAAAACCCACCAGAAATTTCACACTGGCATAAGACACTATATGTGCAGTGAATGTGGAGAAGCTTACAACAGAAGCTTGCACCTTGTTCAGAACCAGAGAACTCACACCAGAGAAAGACCTTATGAGTGCAGTGAATGCGGAAAAGCCTTTAGTCATAAAAACACACTTGTTCAGCACCAGAGTTATGGCGAAAGGTCTTATGACTGCACTGAATGTGGAAAAGCCTACAGCAGAAGCTCCCACCTTGTGCAGCACCAGAGAATTCATACAGGGGAAAGGCCTTATGAGTGCAGTGAATGTGGAAAATTCCATAGCCAAAGCTCTCACCTTATTGAGCACTGGAGGAATCACACCAGGGCGAGGCCTTATGAGTGCAGTGAATGTGGAAAATTCCTTAGCCAAAGCTCTCACCTTATTGAGCACTGGAGGAGTCACACCAGGGCGAGGCCTTATGAGTGCAGTGAATGTGGAAAATTCCTTAGCCAAAGCTCTCACCTTATTGAGCACTGGAGGAGTCACACCAGGGCGAGGCCTTATGAGTGCAGTGAATGTGGAAAATTCCTTAGCCAAAGCTCTCACCTTATTGAGCACTGGAGGAGTCACACCAGGGCGAGGCCTTATGAGTGCAGTGAATGTGGAAAATTCCTTAGCCAAAGCTCTCACCTTATTGAGCACTGGAGGAGTCACACCAGGGCGAGGCCTTATGAGTGCAGTGAATGTGGAAAATTCCTTAGCCAAAGCTCTCACCTTATTGAGCACTGGAGGAGTCACACCAGGGCGAGGCCTTATGAGTGCAGTGAATGTGGAAAATTCCTTAGCCAAAGCTCTCACCTTATTGAGCACTGGAGGAGTCACACCAGGGCGAGGCCTTATGAGTGCAGTGAATGTGGAAAATTCCTTAGCCAAAGCTCTCACCTTATTGAGCACTGGAGGAGTCACACCAGGGCGAGGCCTTATGAGTGCAGTGAATGTGGAAAATTCCTTAGCCAAAGCTCTCACCTTATTGAGCACTGGAGGAGTCACACCAGGGCGAGGCCTTATGAGTGCAGTGAATGTGGAAAATTCCTTAGCCAAAGCTCTCACCTTATTGAGCACTGGAGGAGTCACACCAGGGCGAGGCCTTATGAGTGCAGTGAATGTGGAAAATTCCTTAGCCAAAGCTCTCACCTTATTGAGCACTGGAGGAGTCACACCAGGGCGAGGCCTTATGAGTGCAGTGAATGTGGAAAATTCCTTAGCCAAAGCTCTCACCTTATTGAGCACTGGAGGAGTCACACCAGGGCGAGGCCTTATGAGTGCAGTGAATGTGGAAAATTCCTTAGCCAAAGCTCTCACCTTATTGAGCACTGGAGGAGTCACACCAGGGCGAGGCCTTATGAGTGCAGTGAATGTGGAAAATTCCTTAGCCAAAGCTCTCACCTTATTGAGCACTGGAGGAGTCACACCAGGGCGAGGCCTTATGAGTGCAGTGAATGTGGAAAATTCCTTAGCCAAAGCTCTCACCTTATTGAGCACTGGAGGAGTCACACCAGGGCGAGGCCTTATGAGTGCAGTGAATGTGGAAAATTCCTTAGCCAAAGCTCTCACCTTATTGAGCACTGGAGGAGTCACACCAGGGCGAGGCCTTATGAGTGCAGTGAATGTGGAAAATTCCTTAGCCAAAGCTCTCACCTTATTGAGCACTGGAGGAGTCACACCAGGGCGAGGCCTTATGAGTGCAGTGAATGTGGAAAATTCCTTAGCCAAAGCTCTCACCTTATTGAGCACTGGAGGAGTCACACCAGGGCGAGGCCTTATGAGTGCAGTGAATGTGGAAAATTCCTTAGCCAAAGCTCTCACCTTATTGAGCACTGGAGGAGTCACACCAGGGCGAGGCCTTATGAGTGCAGTGAATGTGGAAAATTCCTTAGCCAAAGCTCTCACCTTATTGAGCACTGGAGGNGCCGCAGCCGCCGCCGCCGCCGTAAAGGCCTATACATTTCCTTTAAAAACTACCCGTGTAATTAAGATATTGGGCAGTGTATAGTTTAATAAATCTCTTCCTATTAAATTTGCAGGGATGGTACAAGAGTGGGAAGAATGCTTATGATTTTTCAGTCCAAGTATGTACTGCTGAAATGGGGAAAATCTGGGTTATCTGAAATACCTTCCACTGTCAGGAAGAGATTGAACTAAGCTGTTGGTGATTAATGTAGGACTAGCCTCCATGTCCACCAGAATTTGATGAGGATGACCATGTACAGTCAACTCATCTTGAGTACTAAAGGGTATGACAGATTATTGGGCACTTTCCTGTCCTCAGGGCACCGTTTTTATTTGAGGCATATTCTGTCAGTTTTTCTTCGTAAGATAGGAAAATCTTTCTCCAGTGTTCATCCCATTTATTCACAAGTGTCCTTGTCCGTAGGTATTGGTTGGGATGTGGGCCCTTAGCCTCTGCTGATCATCTGCAGGGACTCGTTTCTTTGGATCCCGTCTTATAAATATGCTAATCTGTCCTGAAAATCTACCACTTAAACATATTCTTGTTTCATTGATTAAACTGCAATCAATTTTTCCTTTTAATACTTCAGGTCTGGATTTTAGGAGCCTTAGACTTCCTTTCCTGACCTATGATCCTCAGTGTTTTTGTAAAAATAGAACTCCCCATCAATCCCTTCCTGATCAGTTTCCAATCAGTTTTTGTCACCTTATCACATAAGCTTAGCATCTTATGTTCCAGCCAATAAGGTTGTACAGGTTGGATGACCTTAGTTAGATGTACCCTAAAGAATTCTAAATTTTTAAATAACTACTTGCTGGTTTATTTGGGTTGAGGAGAATCTGTAGTTATATATTTTAATTCAGCTCAGGCCCAAGGTTTAAATTCTACAATTTTCTGCATGTGACTCACAGCTGGGGTCAGTCTTCAGAAGTAACTGGCATTTGGAGTTTTAAGAGGAATTGTTGGGAAAAGGTAGTGAAACTGTGTGTGCATGCTAACTTGCTTCAGTTGTGTCTGACCTTATGGGCTGTAGCCCACCAGGCTCCTCTGTCCATGGGAATTTCCCAGGCAAGAATACTGGAGAGGGTTGCCATGCCCTCCTCTAGGGGATCTTCCCAACCCAGGGATCAAATCCATGTCTCTTATGTAAGTCTCCTGCTTTGGCAGGCGGGTTCTTTATCACTAGCACCACCTCAGAAACTGAGTTCCCCTGCTGAGTTTATGATTAACCTCCCTATCCAAAAATCTATTCCTTTTCTTTTCTCCTCTTACCTAAATCCTGTGCTAAACTCAACATTAATAATACTTGAATATTACAAAAAGTTACTAACAATGATTGTGTAGTTACTCAATGAAATGGGAAAAAATATATAGTTCTAGAGAAACTTAACTGTTATAGGGGAAATAAAAAGTTAAATCTAAAAAAACAAAGTTAAACTTAAGATCTCAGTGGCTACAGTTTATTACAGTGAAAAGGATACAGATAAAGAGTAGCAAAGGAAGATGGCATAATGTGAAGGACTCCAAGAGGAACCATGTTGGCAGGTTCCAGTTGCGCCCTTGCTTAAGTCCTGGTGTCTCAGTTGCTGGCTTGTGCACCTCTGGAAATGTTACCTGGTTTGGTAACAACCTCATTCACAGCTTGAAATTGCCATAGTTTGGAGTATTTGTACCAGGGAAAATGGCAACACTACAACCAGGGTCGATTTGCTGTTTTATAAATTTTTGAGACTTTAGAAAGTAGTACAGAATGAGTTAATAATGAGGATTACATATGGGGAATACCACAAACATTCATTCCACCCAGCCAAGCTGAACTGAAGAAAAGTCAAGTTCTAACACATTTCTTTTATTGTCTTCTTAGTTATTCATAAAAAAGGAAATATCAGCCAAAATTCAGTACCAAATGGTAAATAACTATTCTGAACATTTTATCAAAAGATATGCATTTGGCAAGTGAACACATTAAAAATGTTCAACCAGACAGACCATCAGGCAATGGTGAGGTAAGTGCACACTTTGAAAACAGAGGTGATATTTAATATGCTGACCATACCAAACAAGTACAGGGGAGGAATACAGGGGAGTTGGAATGCTCCCAGTACTGTTGATGGGGAATGCAAAAGGGTGGTCATTCACTTTAGAATATGAAACCATATATTCACTTAAGAACATTTATGTACATGTTCACAGTAAACTTTCTGTGACAGCCAAGCTGTAAACAAAGACAAAATCCCATTCATCCATTAACAGATAAATGGATAAACAGTCAACAGGTAGTGTATCCAAACAATGTATTTTTCAGGAATTAAAAAAATTAACCATCAGGTAATTCCCCTGTGGTCTCTGTGCTTTCACCACTGAGGGCCTGGGTTCAATCCCTGCTTGGGGAACTAAGATCCCAAAACCTTGTGGCATGGCAAAGACAAACAAAAACACAACCACTCATATCTGCAATGTGGATAATTCTCAAGATAATTATGTAACATGAAAGAAAAAGGCATATACAAGAGTAAACACATTAACATTCCAATGACATTAAAGTTCTAGAAAACATTAACTAATAGAATGTGAAATAAAGAAATTAAATCCCAGTTGCCTGGGATCCCAGGGAGATTTCAGAAGGTAGATGTGGGAGTAATGGATGTTTGTTATTATGGTGGTTCTGTGATTTTACACATGGTAAAAGTTACCAAGCTATACATTTTAAGTCTATTCAATCCACTTCATATCAACTATACAGCTCAATTAAGTTTAAATAAAAATTGGCTTCACATAAAAATCCAAATGTCCTTTTTAGAAAAGTAGAATTCTGGAAACCAACACATTAACTGTATCACCTCTCCATGCCTCATGCAAGGGGTTGAGTCCCAGTAGAAATGAACGCAGATGAGCAATGGAAGGTGTTTCCACTTAAGTTCTCCAGGAACTCTGCCTGGGTCCTAAAAAAAATTACACACCTGGACTACAGGATTCTACTCTCCCTCTTTTTTCCCTCCACAACTGTGCAGCAATGGCCTTGAGATAAAACAATCTGCAGATGCTATGAGGATCCTAAAACCTTTACATTATTCAGTCTGACTCTGACTGGAGGCTCAGGACGAAGTAACTCTGTAGATCCAGAGAATTTCTTTTAAAAATCTCCTAAACAACTAGTTACATTGTGGATGAAACTTTAGAAAAGGCCCATTCCTTCTTCTTTGCTAGTCTCTCAGGACCTATTAATTCCCCAAGTGTCTTCTGTACCAAGTATGGTTCCTGCTCAGTGTCTGTAATCTAACACAACGCCAGCCTGCCATGTTGTGGACATTGTGGTACGTGGCTCTGTTCCAGCTGGACCTAGAGAACTCCTTCCCTTGAACAGTACTGGGGGGATTATGTGACATCCCGTGTGAAAAGAGAACATTCATGCTGTTCTAAAAATCACTGGTGGTTCTCACGGCTGCCCTCATCTCAGGGTGACCTCTGCAAACAAAAATTATGACATTCAGGTCACAACAAAGCCCTGTAGTCTACCCCAGGAGGCCTTGGACAACAATGCAAATTAGACCAAAACTGCAATGAAAACTACTCTCTGCCATGATACTGTCCTCACTGAGGAATACAGAGTTCCCAAACAGGTGACACACAGCTGGAAAAACCCATTCTGAGCATGACATGAAACAAAGCCACCAGCAGAAGGCAGACTGGGTCACCTTGGTCAAAGATGGCTAAGCCAATGTTCTAGTCAGTTAGAAATAAGAGAATAACATCCAAGTGCTCAGGCTACTTAAGCTTTCCTCCATAGAAGCAGGAGCACAAAAGTCTACCAACTCTGATCACACTGAAGTGACCACCAGTTGGTAGAAGATGATTTTTACCACAGAAACTCACAGTGACATAAGTCTGGAAAGGGACACGGGCACATTAGAAAGTACAGCATAGCTTCTTAAAAGCTTCCAATGAACCGGGCACCCACAGGTAATCTCCACACTAGGGCTGTGCAGGTGGTGGCATTCAACTTCCAGCTGATGAGTCCCTCACAGAGCCTGTTCGGTAAGATGTGTTAGCTAAGGAGACAGTGCATTATTTGCTTCTCTGCTCATCTTATTAGAAGGTCTTTGTCCAGTATGAACTTTCTGGTGACGAAGAAGGTTAGACCTTCGGCTGAAAGCTTTCTTACACTCACTGCACTCATAGGGTCTATCTGGGCTGTGATGTTTCTGGTGCTCAATCAGAGTAGACCTTTGACTAAAGACTTTTCCACATTTGCTGCACTTGAGAGGCCCTGCTCTGGTGTGAATTTTTCGGTGTTGAGTAAGCTGGGTGCTTTGGCTAAAGAATTCTTCACATTCAGTGCACTTGTATGATCTTTCTCCAGTATGAATTCTCTGGTGTTGAGTGAGGCCAAAGCTTTGGCTAAAAAGTTTTCCACATTCAATGCATTTATAAGGCCTTGCTCCAGTGTGAACTCTCTGGTGCTTGATGAGAGTAGAGCTTTGGCTAAAAACTTTTCCACATTCACTACATTCATATGGCCTTTCACCAGTGTGGATCCTCTGATGCTTAATGAGGCTGGGACTTTGGTTAAAAAATTTCCCACATTCACTGCACTCATAAGGCCTTGTGCCTGTGTGAACCCGCCTGTGTTTAATTAAATTGGAGTTCGATGTAAAGAATTTTCCACATTCATTGCATTTATAAGGCCGTGACCCAGTGTGAATTCTCTGATGTTCACTCAGGCTGGAGCTTTGGCTAAAGAATTTCCCACATTCACTACACTCATAAGGCTTTTCTCCAGTGTGAATTCGCTGGTGCCGAACAAGTGTGGGTTTGTTGCTAAAAGCTTTCCCACATTCCCTGCACTTATAAGGCCTTTCTCCAGTGTGGACTCTCCGGTGCTGAACAAGTATGTGTTTATAGCTGAAGGTTTTCCCACATTCACTGCACTCATAAGGCCTCTCTCCAGTGTGGACTCTCTGGTGCTGAGCAAGTCTGTACTTGCGGCAGAAGGTTTTCCCACATTCACTGCACCTGTAGTGCTTCAGTCCATTGTGAGCGGCCTCCACACACTCGGTGTCCTCTTGTGGAGTGACCTGGTGATGGAGAAGATCAGAGCTACCAGGGAAATCCTTCCCAGGCTCCTGGCATGGGAAAGACTTCTTGGTTGTATGAATGGTACGACTCTTCATAAAGGCCTTACCCATGTCTCTTCTAAAGAGTTTCTCTCCACTGTGCTGCTGAAATTTCACACCTGCCCTACACAGTGTCTGGACAGGGTTTACTCCCAGGTCCTCAGCTAGACGCAGACCACCTTCTACATCCAGGTTACCCATCTCCCAGGGACAGGCCTTCTGGATGGACAGGTCTGTCTTTGAAGTAATTATCTGTGGCACTTCTACAGAAGTATTGTGCTCAGAAGTTTTCTCCTTCATCTCTGCTCTCTGCCAACAACCTGAAAGCAAAGAAGTGTGGGTGAATTGCATGTACATGTTGGTAGAAGGGGGGAGCCCCATCACAATACATGTCTGACACAGAAAGAATAAATTCATGGGATTATTTTCAGGACAAGGGAGGTGGGAGCAGGTTAGGAAAGGCCTGCCGTGTGGACAGGGCCTCTACACATCACAAAACAGGGACGACTCACCAGGCAAAAGACACAAGGATGGGGTGCAGAACACAGGGAACCAGGGGTCCACAACTCACTCCTCCGGAACGGTTTTCACCAGGGCCTTGGCTGCTGGGGACACATGTGTGCTGTGTGCAAAGCTGTATCCAGACCCAGGAAAATCCAATTGTCACTGAGTAGCTGGTGTTCAAGGACCACTTCGAGGTCCTTGACCTCAGGCCTCACGACACATTAGGTGTAGGCCAGTATCGAAAAGCAGAGAAGTGAGAATGGAGAGGACTACCGAGGAGTGGGAGGCAGAGAGGTGAGGGATAATCCTGGGCGCAAAGTCAGAGTAGGTATGACGGAGAGAACAAAGTGTCAGGAGTGGGGAGGAGAGAGAGTAATGAGGTTCACAGTCACTGGCCTTGGCACCAAAATAGTGTTGGGCACAGGACACGTTCCTGATATGGTCTGAATCCAGCCATGACATCACTTCCTCCCCCTGATGCCAATCACCAAGGCCAGGCCCACTCTGAGCCCCTCTTGCTGTGCCTGGAGTCATGTCCACTCTGTCCTGTACCCAGGGTTCTCCTCCTAGCTCCAGTGGGACAATAACATGGGACCTAGATGACGCAAGTCCTAAGGGAAAGACAGGACAGGTGAGTGGTCAGTACTGGCCCACGGGGGCAATCAATTCCAAAATAATCTCAGGAAACAGACACTATCACATAAAAAATCTTTGAGGGGGGTATCATAGAAATAGCCAGGTGAACCCCAGAAAAAGTGACTATGTTGGGTCCCAACAATTGCTGGTATAGTGAGGGCCAAGGAAATAAATGTCAGCTGGAAGGGGGAAGAGCCTGGAGCACAAATGTACAGAGTCATCTCAGCAGGGAGTGGCTGAGAACCCACAAAATGCATTCCAAGTCTTTTGGCTCAGAAAACCTTTACTAAGAAAACTTCAGAGCCGCTGGCACTGGGGCTACCTGTGAAAGGAGCTGGTCCACACACTCATTCAGCCTTGGCACCCAAAGCACAGAGGACAGGGAAGCAGTAATAGAGAGGTGCCTACTGTCCAGCTGTGAGACGAACAGACTTGCCTTGGAGAAAAGCGGAAAGTCAGAGACCTGCCCAGGACACTGGGACAGGGGTCCTCACCCTTACCCAAGGACGCAACTAGTGCAAAGGTCTCCAGCATGACATAGCAGTATAGGCGTCTCTGGGTCTCGTCAAGGATCCTCCATTCCTCCTGGGAAAAGTACACAGCCACGTCCTCAAAAGTCACAGGGCCCTGTGATGATGGGAACAGAGTGTGCATAAGCAGCCTGTCTCCCCAGGACCCCACAAGTACCCCCAACCTAGTCCAAACTCACTCTGGGGTCATCCTCTTCCCCAGCGACCCAACTTAAGAGGGCAGTGGTACCCAAAACTCTTCATGTTTTCTTGAGCACTAGCTCCAACCCCAGTAACAACACGCACGTCTACAGACAGATGCCTTCTATGCTGTGGGCCTGGGATGTAAGGCCTGCTCCCTCTCCTGAAAGACAACAATCTGACAGTTCCCAAGGTGATGCACCCCAGATGCCAGCAACTTGGGCTCATCCTCCTCTCTTAACCTCCTGGAATGAGGGCACTGGGACTATTTGTTCACACACCTTCCCCACATCTGTGTCACCCACTGGACCACCTTCTACATCTGACCCCCATCACTAGCACTTGGACCACAAAACTGTCATGTCTCCTGTCTCCTCATATATCCTTCTGCACATGACACCTGAAAATCCTTTTCAACGCAACAGAATCCCACCAAACCCCAATTCTCCACTGGCAGCTCGCCAGCCCTGTTCTGAAGGCTTCCCCACCAGGCCTTGGTCCTAGTTCCAACCTCAGTCACAACATGCAGACCTAAAACCCTGGTCAGGGTCCACTTCTATACTGCACATTATGTCTCCTTATCAATTCCAATCTCTGTCCATTCAAAATCCACACCTACTTGACACACCTACAGAAATTCACATGACATTCTGTCACAAACTCCTCAAGTTCCAACACGAAAGCCTGGTAAGTGCACAGGAAGAAAAGCAAGCACCAGTCTGATTTTGCTATCACTTCATCTCCATTTCTGCTTTCCCTCTGCATCAATTTCACAGCCACTGTCCCATAAAAACCTGGGCCACCTGCTGACCCCCCCCCAACACCTTCCCGCTGATGACCTTTGTAACAGCCCCCTTTGTTCCCTTGTCCCATAATTGCATCCTGAAGCCTCTAGCGCGGCATGTTCAGCCACCCACTTGTCTCCTGTATTTGAGAGTCATTGGATCATCATCTGAGATTCATCAGGGCCAAAACCCAATTCCTAATATTCTCAGTGAAAATGACTGCTACCACTGACTTCCCTGAATCAGTTAATGCAACTTCCACCCTTCCAGATGCAAAGGGAATAAACTCTGGTGTTATGTATGACCCCTCCATTTTAGAAAATCTGGTCAGCCCTACTTGTAAAAGTCCTGAAGTCAAATATTTCTCCTACCTCCATATCCACCCCTCTGTCCAGCTGCAGCAAATGCTCATCTGGATGACTGCAATAGCCTCCTTGATTATCTCCTTGTCTTTCCCTCCCCTAGTCTGTTCTGCACTCTGCACTTAAGAGGGAGCCTCTTAAAACCTAAGTCAGATCATTCTTCTCCTCTATTCCAAATGCTCTCCATGGCTGCCGTCACTCTGAACAAGTAGTCTTCTGAGAGTACAGCTTCTCAGCAGAGTATCATTCCAGGCCTGACTCTGGCTCTCTTGCTCTCTGTCCTCACCAGACATTAACAGAGACTTACAAGTCCTAAAACACACCCATCTCGGTTGCATCCTCAAGCATTTGTGTGGATTTCCCCCAGTACCTAAGACAAGCTTTCACATTTAGGCCACTGGCTGCCGAAAATGTGAATCTCCCCATAGAACCTCTGGCTTGGACTTGGAAACCTGGGCTGAGGGTTTCTCCAGGGTCTCCAGACACCAAGTCCAGGAAGAGTAGCAACAAAAGACATCCAGGACACCAGATACTCACCAGTGAAGGATCCATAAGTGGTTCTTCTGAATGTGGAACCTGTGGGAAGAGAAGGGCCATGTAACTTTAATACCATCAGCAACAAAGACAAAAGATTAGAGTGAACCACTTAATATTTCAGACAGACACATAAAGGAAAACTAAAGCCATGTAAAAGAGGGCAGAAAATGTTATACAGTTGTGCCATAAAGTCATGTGGATAACCTGAGAAAAGGTTTTTCAACAGTGGTATAAACAAGTGCAAAGCCTCCCTATCAGAGTCAGGTCTGGTGTGTCTGAGTGGCATCCTCGAGGCTAGTGTGACTGCAACCCAATGAGTCAGAAGAATAAGGGATTGTATTAGTGAGGAAATACTTGTGGCAGGTCACATAGCACTATTATAACACTGAGCCACAAATATCAAAATTTACTCCATTTTATGTTAGGTCTGTTTCTGACACTCCCATTTGAGTCCCTTTTCTGTTTTTCCCTTGCCAATAATACATTTTTCTCTTCCTGTCGCTGTGGTTGGCTCTAACAGGTGACCAGGAGTTCTTATATGTCCTTTCCAAATTTTTTTTCTGGTTATAAGTTATTGTATATAAACTTCCAGTTTACATAATCCAGATTAAATTCTGGTTTGAAATTATTATAACATTATGTAGTATAATTCAAGAACATGTACTCTTTCTATTTATCCATATTCTTTGATGTTAAAACTTTTCCATAAATATTCAGAGTATCTGTAATTTCTTACATGCTCTTCTCTCCTGCAGTAGAGAATGGAACCACCATGTACTGACTATGCATGCAAAATGAATCTCTGATAAAAGGGTTGTTCCTTAAATCCGAGTAAAAGTGCTTTGCCTCCAGCAGCTGGGGATAACTAGACCTCATTTTGGACTCTTTAAACTTAAGAGAAAGGATATAAGTGATAGGACCTGAACTCTTGTCCATCCTCATTATAGAAGCATGGAAATATCTTCTTGAGTTCTTAACATCCTGTTATGGTTTTGAAGCATTATAACTTTTTATCCTTATAATGATATATTTGGCCCATTTAAAATAGGTATTTAATAAAATATATCAATAATTTTCCCTTACAAGATGACCAGAGGAAAACTATTTAACAGTGAAATAAATATTACAGGAAAAGCACAATCTCTTAAAATACTAAAACAGTCTATATGTGTATAGACTGTAAAACAGAAAAGTTTATATAAGGCATAAGTGTGTATCAAAATATAACTATG